GTGGTCAAACTAGCCAATCACAGCATCAGAACTCTAAGCACGTGAGAGAGAGTGGGAACTTCCCAGAACATTGTATTGTGCCACGCCCAACAGAAATAACCCAGGTGGGCGACTTTAAAATCAGGATCTCCTCCGTAGCTAATAGCAATTCCCACCTTAGAGTTTACAAAGACTTAGGGGTAGAAAAGCCACACTAAGTAATTTACTATACCGCAGGTACTATACCACGAGAGTTCCCAATAAGTAAGGATGGATAGTGGAAAAATATTTGAAATGCTTAGCATGTGCCTGGCATATAATAGTTGGTATAGCAACGGGTGGTCATTTCTGAGGGTGGCCCAGGTTTAGTTGTGAATAAATGGGATGCCCATTTCAGCTGTGGCCACACATGAACATCTTAAAGGCAGAGTCCACATCTAATTCATCTCTCTTTTCCCTGTGAGAGCACATAATATTTTCTAGACTAGGTTCTTAACTACTCTGTTGGCTTGGGTTTTCAGCTCACACTTGCCTTGCTATCTCAGAGTGGCAGTTGCCGAATGTAGTCTCAGGGCTCTGGTGGCCAGAAACAGGGCAGCTCTCCTATGCTGGAAGCTTGCCTGGCAGGGTCTCAGCAGAAGCCTAAGAGAGCCTGGTGGCCTCTTAGCCAGTGTAACCCTGGCCTTATTAAGTCTATGTGGCCAAGGTTGTGCTGGGAGCCCTGACTGAGCTGAAGGCATGTGGGAAATAGCCCTTGGTCCCCTGCAGTGCCACACCTTCCATTTGGCCTCCCTAGTATATGACTGGAAGGGGACATCACCCTGCTCCTCCCAGCAGGGCATCCTGGGAGATGGAGATGGGGGTAGCTCTGCAATTGTCTTCCCTAACATCCTGTCCTCCCTCATGTCACCTATTAGAATGTGCAGTGATGTATTGGCAGGCTTATTTGATTTCTGTCTGCCTTCTCCATCAGACAGTAATCTTCATGACATCAAGGACCTAGCCTACTGGTCAGTAAGGAGTTACTGGATGTGGTTCTGGTTCTTCCATTCATTCAGGTCAGGGTATCATAGG